GGCTGGATTTTCAACACCCCTTACAACAGAAGACTTCTGCATTTTGGCCACACATTTCTCAACCCTTGTTAACTACCCTTCTGCTCTCCCTGATCCACAACCTGTCACCCAACCCTTCCTACGTCCCCGCCCCCCACCAAAAAAAAAAAAAAGCAAACAAACGAAAAAAAACCTTAACTGAAATTGCAGGTATACCTCATTTTATTGGGCTTCACGTAGTTGCATGCTGCAGGTTGACTTTACGTTGACCTTGGGACTACTCACTACTTTCGAGGTAGGGCGTTTGTCTTGCCTGCAGCCGGCTGGCCAAGCCAGGTTCGATTTCTCGCCCCTCTCAGGAGAACCCAGCAAGCTACCGAGAGTATCTCGCCTGCACGGCAAAACCTGGCAAGCTACCCGTGACGTATTCGATATGCTAAACACAGTAACAACAAGTCTCACAATGGAGACATTACTGGGCCCGCTTGAGCAAATCGATGAACAACGGACAGTGCAGTTCAGTGCAGTCCACTTAGTTGCATCTCACAGAAAGTGCTCATTCAATGAATGAAAGTTGTGTGACAACTCTGTGCCAGGCAAGACTACTGGTGCCATTTTTCTAACAGCTCAGGTGATGGCTAGTACTGTTTAGCAATAGAATATTTGGGGAAGAGGGGTGCTACTCCTGGCTCTGTGCTCAGGGATTATTCCTCGCAGGCATAGGGGGTCATATGTGGTGCCAGGGATTAAACCCAGGTCAACTGTGTGCAAAGGAAGCACGTCCTACCCACTATACAATTGCTCTGGCCCAGACATATTTTTTATTGATGCATATACATTGTAATTTTTTTTTCTTTTTGGGTCACACCTGGCGATACACAGGGGTTACTCCTGGCTCATGCACTCAGGAACTACTCCTGGTGGTAGTCGGGGGACCATATGGGGTGCTGGGAATCGAACCTGGGTTGATCGATGCCAGGCAAACGCCCTACCCGCTGTGCTATGGCTCCAGCCCTCATTGTTATTTTTAAGACAATATTACTAAACGTGAAAGAGACTACAATATTGAGGAACAGTTGCTTTCACGAGCACTGGGCAAGCAAAAATTCTTGCTGCCATATTAGGTCCATTGAAAGCAAACCCACAGTGTTTCCAAGATGTGCCTGTATAACCTTCCCAGGAAAACAGTAGGTTTCTTCCAGAGCAAACTGAATGCAAAGCAAGGGCTGGGACAGAGAGAAGAGCTGGGCTGGCAGGACTTAAGAGACTTTTATTTATTCTCAGGCACGGATTGGGGGCCTATGATTAGCTTTTGCACCATTTCAGACACAGGGCTACAATAGACCAAGGAGAAGTGGTTTGCATGGAGATGATATTCCAGTGGGGGAAGGAAGTCCTGACTATAGAAATGGTACTTTCCAGTGGGCCCCATTGTTCTCTGAGAGTGTTGCCTCTTCCTCTCTGAAAGCTGGTATCTACTAGCTCAACTCAAATCTGAGTTGAGAGAAATTTGTGACTCATAGTAACCAATAGAATGCAGCCAATGGGATTTTGTGTGGCTTCTGAGGCTAAGTCACAAAAGGTCACGCTGCTTCAGCCTCATTTCTGAGCACCCAGGTCTTTGGAGTCTTGAAAAGAGATATCAGAAGTCCAGCCATGCCATGAGGAAGCCCAGGCCACCTGGGGCCACCAGGGACATGTGTTCTGGCCAGGAGTCCAACTGAGCTCTGAACTGAGCTCTGAACTCCCGACCATCCACCAGCATCAACGGTCCCACATGGAAGAAAGTGAGTCAGCTCTTTCCAGACTCTAGACGTCGTCAAAATAACGGCTAGCATTTGAGTCTTCCAAGCTCAAAGACGACCCCACACAGAGGGGCGGAGAGGAGCCATCCCGGGCTATGCTCTGTCCCAAACCACAGAATCCATGAGCATCATACAGCCGTGGTGGAAACCACCAAGTTCGAGGTGATTTGCTCTGCAGGGACAGTTTCTAGAATACAGAGGATAAACAAATACACCAGCAAGATGAAATCATCCTGCGATTTTAATCCTCAGGAAAACTTCAAGCTGCATGATCTCTGGGAGGAAGACTGCCTTGGGTGGGGTGGGGGGGGTGGATCTGGGAGGGCCTTTTAGAGGGACCACTAACAGGGGATTAGAGAGAGAAGAACATCTGGGAGAAGAGGTTTCCTGGTAGAGAGCACAGGAAGTGCAAAGGTCCCAAGTCAGGAATCCGAGGAGGGGTGTGTTCCATAAAGCACAAAGAAAGCCAGTGACGGAGGGGGGGGGTGGGGAGTGGGTGAGGAAGGGGGGGTGTATAGGAGTTGGGGAGGAGGAAGGTGGGGGATGTGTGGGAGGTGGGGAAGCAGGGAAACGAGGTCGGCGAGCTAGGCAGCGAGGAGAGTACTCGGGTCTTGCAGGCCCCGGAGAAGAGCCGGCTGCCAAACTGAGCGGGGAAGGAAGACAGATGGGGCGCTAAGGCGTGTTCCAAGGGAAGGGGGGCTGGAGACGGGCACCCAGGGACAAATAAACTGGGGACACGGGGACACAGTGAGACAAAGTCACAAGAAGAGGCGGCAACCCGGGAGAGGTCCGGAAGCCCGCACCCGTCAGGAAAAAACGGGAGGGGCGGGGAGCCGGGCCTGACCGGGACAGCGCGTACTGGTCTCCGACGTCAGAGGTGTGCAGTCGGGCCTCCTGGCAGCGCGCCCGCCCCGACGTTTCCAGGCAACGGCAGCGGGCGCCCAAGCCCGCGGCCCCGTGACATCACCGTCGCCCGGGCGACGGCGGGAGGCAACACAGCCCCGCCCTCCAGGCCACCGAGGCGGGGCCCGACGCTGGGCGCCCCGCCCCGGACACGCCCCGTAGACCACGCCCCCGGATAGGCCACGCCTTCTGGGTCGGCCACGCCCCCTCCGCGGTCGGAGAAGAGGCGGAGCCCACGGTGCACCCGTGCTCGGGTACCTCGGCTGCTCCCCTCCGTGGCCGCCGCTCGGGCCATTCCCACGGCTCCTCTGTCCTTGAGGTCACCTCCAGAGACCTTCTAAGCTAAAGGAGCTGCCCGTTTGCTTCGTTTGCTTCGTTTGCTTCATTTGCTTCATTTGCTTCACTTTACAGGCTCTCATCTACTTAACCCTCCAGCGCCTTGCCTCTTGAGACTTCAGTGCCCCCATGTGTTCTGCCTCGTTTAATCTCGGTCTTCAGTCTCGCGCCAGGCTCTGACCTTCAGGAGATGGTCAGGAATGGCGCTGGCATGGAACGGGTGTCTTTATCCTTTGCACTCCTCTTGGAGTTGGTTCATTTGACTTTTGCAGACTGTCTCCTAGGCGCTTGGGATAGGATCCCGAGATGAACCAGACCGGGATTCCACCTGGAGGGCAGAAGGGAGAGCTCTGAGAATACGGTGTGAGCACACTTGACTTCAGGTGCCAGGCAGAGCTGCAGGCACTCACAGTGAGGAGACTCGCTGATGCTGCTCGGTAGCACCTGGGCACACTCCCGTGGTGCAGGCGAGAGCTCTGAGGACAGACTGTGGGGCTCTGTAGTCAAGTGAGACCCCACAGAGGAAAGGGAGAGGCTCATGGAGAGGGTCTTGAGAAGCGAGTCTCAGGCCCAGGTAGGTAGACTGGGCATCTTACTAGTCCAGAGGAGACGAGCTCTTTCCAGCTCCGCTGCCTGTATGAGCCACGTGGACTAGGAGGGGGCTGAGGGGTGGGAGGGCTGAGCTCAGCAGGCAGGAGGATTGCACCGGTTCAAGTGAAGCCACGTGCAGGCAACTTTCACCTACCCTTGTGGATGATGAGTTGTGTGTGTGTTGGGAAGGATCATGGTCAGTCAGAGATGCGAGAGCCTTAAAAAAGGTATCCAGGAAATCCGGCAGGGTTTTGCACGCGCTCTTTACTCCAGCTGGCGTGGACCCCTCACCCCGCTGTCTCTGATCTTCCCACAGCTGCCTCTTTGCTATTCAGATCTCGTGGGAGATTTTTTTTTCTTCTTTAGTGAGGTCTGCCTTGCTTAGGTCCTCTAAGGCAGTCACTAGCCACTGTCACATCGTCCAAGAAGCCTTTCACCCTAAGAGGGAGCGCGACATTGCCAGGTGCCTCACTCTGATGCTGAATTTGTCTTTGTTTTCTGCCTGTCGGTTGTCTCCTCCTAGAAAGCCCCTTTCCAGAGACCACCTCTTTCTGTTTCAGCAGCCCAGAACAGGTGTTTTCTGCTGCAGGGGCTTAATGCTTTGGAAAGAGCCAAAGAAGCTCTCTGCCAAATTGTTTGGAGCTTGGGGGCTGGAGTGCAGTGGGTAGAACACTTGCCTTACACTTGGCCGGTCTAGGTCCAATCCCCATATGGCCCCCAAGGCCTGCCTAGGTGTAATCCCTGAGCTCAGAGCCAGGAGTAACTTCTGAGTATCAGCGGGTGTGGCCCAGAAATAAACAAAAATTGTTTGGGCTTCTCCCCCGCCACCCCCCCTCCAGGAACCACTGCTCCACTCACACAAGACCCGAGAAGTCACAGGAGCCAGTGGCACCTGAAGCTTTGCTATTAAGAGATGTTCCATCCTCTGGACCTGGCTGGGCCACACTCCCTGACCAGAGCAGACCCTACTCAGGAGTGGGGCTCAGAGATAGGGGGGCATCCGTGCATATATGTCAGCTTGTGTGAGGGGAGCAGGGACTTGGCAAGCTTTTAGGGGGAACCACACCCTCAGGGGCTACTCCAGCGCTGGGCTTGTTACTGGTGGTGCTCAGAACCACGCAGCATGGGGGATTAAATCTGGGCCTCCTGCAGGCAAAGCTTGTGTTCCAGCCCCCCTGAGTCATCTCCCTGTCCTCCCTCCACCCCCCCTTTTTTTTTTTCAGAGTTGGCAAGCTTTTCTGGTTCCCAGCCAAGAATGGCAGGGCCTTCCCACACTACCGTTGCCTAGAAAATGGGGAACCTGGAGCAAACAGCCGTTTCTTCTGTGCCCGCAGCAGGAACCCAGACTCCGAACAGATGCACAGTCAGACACACAGAGGGGAGAGTCACACCGGGGTTTATTCACAATGTGTTCTTCCCATTCGGGCACAGAGTCTGGGCAGTGGGGGTGGAGAGGCGGCCCTCAGGCATGTGGGGACTTTGCTGACTGCATGACAGTGGAGCTGGAGCCGGAGGGACTGCAGAGGGGGACCCTCAGGCCAGCCCAAACAGAGCCCCCTCCCGCGTGCTCGCAGGTGGCCTTGTCCTCTCCAGGAATCAAGGAGCAGCTGCTCCAGGAACAGTTCTGAAGCAGGAGGGGTGGGGCTGGCAACGAGTTCTTGGCACATAATAAAACCAAGCGGGGATTTGGAAGAAGTTACTTTAACACTAGCCCCGTAGCTAAAAGCATTAGGGCTGGACCCACTTTGTGGACATAGGAACTGAGGTCTGATAAGACTCTTAAGTGGCGCCAGCACAGGCCCCAAGAAGGCTGCCCCTTCTCCCTGCCCCCTCCGCCCCAGAAGTTCTAGCAGAAACAAAGGGCTGTGATAAGGACATGAAGGTGGACACCAAAAGTTTCAAGCTCTTCCCCTCGATAATGCCATAGCAGTGGACTCTTATCTAAGTAGACAGCCACATGAGGGGAAAGCTTAGAGGGGAAAAAAAAACTATATAAAACAACTCTGCAAAGGCAAGTGGGACACCTCCCCAGTCTTGAAGGCAGCCTGCATCTCCACCTGAGATGTGTATTCTGTGCTCTGTCTCTGTCTCTGTCTGTCTGTCTCTCTCTTTCTCCCTCTTTCTCTCTCTCTTTCTCCCTCTCTTTCTCTCCCCCCCACCCTGTCTCTCTTTTTCTTCTTCCTTATAATCTCAAACTGTTTTACTTCACTCTTCAACTCTGCCTGAAACTCTTTTTTTCTATGGGGGTGGACCTGAAAAGCCTGGGTAAGGTCTAGGATTGATTTTCCTTTCCTGCAGAGAGCAATTCCTCGCTCCAGTCTGAGGCCATGGCTCTATGAGAAATCTGATGGCAGGGGTCATTTCCCACAGCAAATGGACCCCAGGCACAGCTTGACCCCAGGCCTGGTGGAGCTGGGGAGCCATGAGGCCTGCATCGTGCAGGGGCTCATCGCAGACTTCCACCAGTTCTAGGTTTCCCCGGGCACTCCCTTGGGTGGCTGAGATGGGCAGAGAGGGAAGCGGCAGACCCCCTTCTCGAGGCTGCTGTTTCTCGTCTCCCCACTTCACATACGTCCCCTGCAGCCATTTGAATGGAAAAAAAAAAACACAGGCTGGGGGTGGAGGGTCACTCCAAGGACTCTGTCCCCTGCAGTGGTGGTCTCACCGGGGTGAATTTTGGGTGCCTGAGCTAGATCTTGTGTGAGGGGACACCTAAGATGTGCTCCCCCACAGAGACAGATGCACTTTCTCCCTGTCCTTGCCTCATGTGGAGGAGGAGGATGGCACCACCTCAGCACTTGGGCCTTGGAAAGAGAGGCCCGTGTCACTGGGCAGCTGGCAGGGAGTGACTACAACGTCCCAACCCGGCCTCTGCCAGGCCACTGGGCAAGAGCTGCCTCAGCAGCGGGGGGGCCTGGAGCTCTGGGTGGGGGCCTGACACCCCGGGCAGCCCTGCCTGCCCTGTGGTGCTGCAGGAGGACAGTCCCGTGGCCCTAGACTCGTCCACACCAGCACATGTCTCAGTCCCAGACCTCCTGGCTCCGCAGTGCGGGCAGCAGCCTGACCCTGCACTCACCTGCCCCACATCCAGGTCCTTGCTTCTCCCTGAGACATGGAGGCTGCCCCTAGGACTGGGCACCACTGGAAGCCTCCCAGAGGCTGATCCTCTGGACATGGAGGTTGGGGAGGAGGAGGGATCACTGGTGGAAGGCCAGGCTTGAGGGAGGCCTGAGCCTTCTTTCAGTGTCTCCAGCCCGCGGGTGGAAGGTGCCCGAAAGCCAGCTTGAACTCCGGCCTCTGGGTGGTTTCTGTACTGGGCTTGACCGGGCGTCTCAGGATGGCAGGTGCCTTCGGTTTGGCTCTTGATGGTAGTTTGATCTCTAAGCTCCTGTCCTGAGCCATTGGGCCTGGCTCCGCTGTAGTCCACAACGCTGACCCGGCAGGCATTTGGGTCCTTCGGGGGTCCCTGGTCTCTGCTAGCCTCAGGTTGCAGGCTGGACATGGAACTGAGGACCTTGTGCACGGCTGCCTCGATGTCCAACAGCCTGGCCAGGGTCTGTTCCTTCAGCTGGGCTACCTCTGTGCTGACCTTTGACAGCTCCCCGAAGGCCTGGTCCACTGAGACCTCGGGCTTGCTGGGGGCAGCTGGAGGGACCCCTCCCGGTGGAGAGACGGCCTTAAAGAGCCCCCGCAGTGCCGTGATGTCCGCACTGTCCGCGGCCTCCCGCTCCAGGGCCTGCACCTGGCTCAGCAGGCCGTGCAGCTCATGCTGGCTTCCCTGCAGTGTCTTGGGGCTCTCCAGGGCCCCAGGCTGGGGTCCTTCCACTGGCTTCTCTCCTGGAGGGCTGGGGCCTGGCTGCCATGAAGTGGGGTCATCGCTGAGACCTGAGAGCTTGGGGGGCTCTTTGCTGCCTGCAGCTTGACTCTTGGGGCCCGTGGACTTGGGGCCATGTTGGCTGTGCCCACTGGAGCATCTGGCTGGAGCTGGGTGACCTTGGCACGCCGTGGGGGTCTCACCTTGTCTGGAGTCTCCTTGCTCCACCTCCTTGGAGGCGCTGGACAACAGAGCTTTGGGCAGCCACGGGGGAGGAGGGAGCTGGCTTAGGTGTGCAGGCTTGGGGGGCAGTGGGGGCTTCTTTCTGGGGGGCACGGTGGACTCCAGTTCGGGGGTCTTTGTTGAGGACTCCCCGGGGTTTCTCTGGTCAGCAGGGCTGTGGAGGGAGTGGAGAAGGGAATCCTGTTGGGGCGTGCAGGCCTGCTCGATGGAGTCCTTGTCATCGTGGGCTGGGCCCTGGGAATCAGGTTCTGTCACCGCAGCTGGGAGAGGAGGAGGAGGAGGAACAGAGGCATTACAGGGCTGTGGGCAGGCCGGCGCAGCCCAGGGCTTGGACATCAGCACGTGGTGGGCTAGAGGGGCCTCCTTCAAGCTGGTCTCTGTGGCTTGGAGGCTCCCTGGGCTACCTCCTGCCTTGGCCTTGCCTGGTGGTCCCCAGGCCCTCTGAGCATACCCCCCAGGCACCTCCCACCCAGTCCCAAGTCTCTCTCCAGGACTTCCCTGGAGTGGACCGGGGGCTTGGACCGAGCAGGCAGCCTCCTGGGTCCGGGATACCAGTTCCCTCTCAGAGGCTTGGCCACTCCCAGATGACTCCAAGGTCCTCACAGGCTGAGCTGTGTCGACGCCACTCTCAACAGTCACCCTCCCCTCAGGCAGTGCGTCTGGTTCCCCACTGACCTTTTTGGGGGCTGCTGGGATCCTGGGGTCACCTCCAGCCACAGGCCCGGTGTTGCTCTGGGTGGTCCCCGTGGCCTTGGTCGGTGCTTGTGGAGTACCGTTGTGGCAGGGCTCAGGGGCGGCTCCAGGGCTGGGCCCTTGCTGGTACTTGTTTAGAACCTGCTGGTGTAGACTCTGGGCTTCCGCCGTGGCCAGCCGGAGGCTCTGCATGGCAGCCTGAAGATCCGGGGTGCCGGGTGCTGGGGACATCGTCCTGGCTCTTTCCAAGCTGGCCTCTTCCTGGCCTGTGCGGCTCCTTTCTTGCTTCCCTTCCTCGGTCTGAGAAACGATCTTTCCCGTGGCCTGTGGGGGACATGGAGCGGCCCCGGGGCCTTTCTGCTGCCCTAGGCTGAGGTCCAGAGGGGGAACACGGATGATGCTCTCAGTGGAGAGCGGCCTCTGGGCAGCCTCACTGGTTGGCTCTGGGCTTGACTCAGCCGGGGGCTCCCAGCGCAGACACTGCAGGCCCTGCAGGTCCCCTTTGTCTATGCAGCTGGCCAGCAGCTGCACGCTGCGTCTCTCGGAGCCCCTGCTGCTGGGCCGGGGCTGCAGGGAGTAGGCGGTGAGAGCCACCAGGCCCTGCTCTGTCTCCTGCATCACCAGCCCTGTCCTGGCCACCGAGCTCCCTAGGCTGCAAGCCAGCAGCTGCTGGAGCTCAGGATCCATGTCCTCCACATTCCCACCGCTGCTCGGAGCGGGCAGCCTCAGAGGCCTGAGCTGGAGTTGACCTGCTGGGTCCTCCTGCACCAGCAGCCCCTGCGGGGCCACGTCTGGCCGACGCAGTACCTGGCGGACTATCCGGGGCAGTTCGCCAGACATCAGCTCTTCCTTGCGGACACGGGGCAGCCCCTGCCCAGGACCTGGGAGCGTGAACTTGGCCAGGCAGAGCTCTCCGGGCCCACACACCTCCATGAGGATGCCTCCATGGTGCAGGATGCCCGGCGTGGCCTGCAGGGTCCGCAGTGTCCCCTCGGCGGCGGTCTCCTGCCTCTCTGGAGCCCTGGGCTCCGAGGGACCCGTTGGCTGTTCTTCCTGGAGGTTGTCCCCTTGAAGGCTCTGGGCTGCCAGGGAGCCCATGGGGCAGTTCTCGAAGAGCCAGGTGAACTTGTGCACGGAGCCGGCAGGCACAGGCTCGGGGACAGCCCTGGACACCTGGGCCTCCCGCTGGCCTGCCTCCAGGGCCTGGAAGACCTCCTTCCACTGGGACACCTGCCCCGATGGGATGTCCACACGGCTGCAGACCCGCACCAGTCCTCTTCCGCAGGGTTGGCCCGAGACCGGAAGTGGCTCTGTCTCAAAGACATGTCCATCTGTCTGTCTGTTCCCAGCCTGCACCTGGTGGACCTGCAGGTGCCTTTCCCTGGCATCCTCGGGCTTGTCCAGGGGTTGGGGTGCAAACATCCAGGTGCAAGAACGCGCCCCTGCCTCTGCCTTGGGGGCTTCTGTGGCTTCAGACCCTGGCCTCTCCCCCAGCTTGCTCATGGGGCACGTCTCAAACAACCACCGGATAGTTTGCACATCTCCCCTAGGGGGTGCCTCTGGCTGGGGGCTCCCCTGAACCTGCCCCTCTTCCGCCTGTCGTTCCTGCTGCTCCCGCTGGTGGATGACCTCCAGGGGCTGCGTCTCGAAGAGCCAGCGGGTCAGGCCCACGTCCCCGGTCGGCACTTCCTGCCGGGTGATGCCCTTCACCACATCCACGGTGCTGGCACTCCGACCCAGCCGGTCTAGGGGCTGGGTTTCGAACATCCACCGATATCCCTGCACATCCCCGCCCACCACCTGCTCCCTGCTGACCGAGGTGAGTGCGTGGAGGTGGCCTCTGCTGTCCTGGAGGGCGTACACCGTGGACCCCACGGCCAGAGACTGTCCAGCACACTCAGGTCCTTTGGCTTCGCTCACCCTCCCTTGACCCCAAGGCTCCCCCTGCCCGATGCTGTCCAGAGGTAGGGTCTCAAAAAGGTTTTTGAAGGTCTTCACGTCCCCCTTGACCTCCTCCCTCTGGGAGCCGCTGTGCGAGGGGGACGGGGCCGAGGGGTCATCCCTGGGCAGATGCTCAGAGGTGAGCCCTTCCGGGGGGCCCACCCGCTGCAGGTGACCCACTTGGACCTGGTCCCGGGGCGTGTCCAGGGGCTTCATCTCAAACAGCCACAGGGTGGAGCGCACGTCCCCGGGGACCACCGCCTCCTTGGGCGGGGTCTCCGGGCCGACCCCCTCCTCCTTCTCCTCCTCCTCCTCCCCCCCTTTGAGAGTATCCAGCGCTCGGGTCTCGAACAGGTGCCGCTGCTGCTGGACGTCGGGCCCGGGAGGGACCAGGTCGGGGGACGGCTGGAAGTCCTTCTCGTCCACCTCGAACTCCCGGATGGCGTCCAGGGGCTGCGTCTCGAAGAGCCAGCGCGCGGCGCTGACGTCGGGCCGGGCCCCCTCCTCCAGGGAGATGCCGCGGATGACGCGCACCTGGCTGGGGTCGCGGTTGATGGCGTCCAGGGGCTGCGTCTCGAAGAGCCAGCGCGCGGTCCTCACGGCGTGGCTCTGGACCTCCTCGCGGCACGCGGCCGTCACCTCGTGGATGGCGCCCTGGGCGTCGCGGATGGCGCACAGGGGCTCGGTCTGGAACAGCTTCACCGTCTTCTGCACGTCGCCGCGGAGCTCCCGGAGCTCGGAGCGCAGCTCCAGGGGGCTCTGCTCCGGGGCCGAGGACCGCGAGCCCAGGCGGTCCAGCGGCCGCGTCTCGAAGAGCAGCCGCGTGCCCCGGACGTCGCCGCTGGCCGCCGGCTCCTGGGAGGGCACCTCGGGGGCCTCGTCGTCCTCGCCGCCGTCTGGGGCGCCGCCCAGCTCGGCCAGCGGCCGCGTCTCGAACAGCCGGCGGGTGGCACCCACGTCCCCGCCCGCGACCCGCGGGCCGGCTGGGCCCGGCGCCGCCGACCCCGCGCCGCTGCCCAGCGCGCGCGCCTCCAGCTGGCGCGAGGTGGCCTGCACGTCGCCGCCGGCCACCGGCTCCCTGGCCGGCGGCGGCTCGTGCTCGCCGATGGCGTCCAGCCGCCAGTTCTCGAAGATCCAGCGCATGCACTGCACGTCGCCCTCGATGGGCTCCTCGGAGCCCAGCACCTCGGCCAGGTCCTCGGCCATGGCCTCGGCCAGGTTCTTGCGCAGCTCGGGGTGGATGTGCCGGTAGAGGCGCCGCAGCTCGCTGGCCTGCCGCTGCTGCTGGAACTTGGAGAAGGCCTCCCTGGGGGGCGGCAGGGGCAGGTCCTCTGCGGTCGCCATCCTGGGGGTCGACGTGGGGGGATACCGGCTCGCGAGCGCCGTCCTCCTGCGTGGGGGTGGAGAAAGGGCAGCGGGGATGATTGGGGTTGCGGGGGGGGGGTTGGTGGGGCTTTGCGGGGGGAGGGGGTGTCATGAAGCTGGAGTCTGGGAGAAACGGCAGGGTAGGCCTTTGGGTGACACGTGCACAAGAGGTCTGTCCCTCTCCAGACCTCCCTGAGCCCACCTTGCAGGTGGGGGTGGGGGTAGGGTGGAGATAAGTCTGGAAGTTAGGAAGCGCGGAGCGCTGCCCTTTCCAGAGTGCCAGGGGAGAGCCTAGGCATGCCCCGTCCTTGCCCTCTTTTGCTGTAGTGGGGTTTTCCCTGGCACACATCCAGATGAGTGACCCACCCTGGGCGGGGGGAATAGGGGGGAGAATCCTGACCGCTGGGATTCTCCCAGCCGCAGGGCAGCGAGCGGATCCCCGATGAGGAGGCAATTCCTGATCTGAACACCAGGGGGCGCACGTGCCCCTTTCTCGGGGGATTGGGGGCGGTCAGGCCCCCGTGAACCTCCAATGGTCCAAGGGTCCTGCAACTTTCGCTGTGTCGGGGCAGACAGAAGGATGGCGGGCTGCTGCCCATCCTACTGAGGGCAAGTGGGAAGCAGTTGAGGATGCTCAGAGAGGGGCCACTTGTCCACCCACACTGTCTGGCAGGGCCAGAGGCTGGATCTTTCGCGGGGTGGGGGGGGGGGGAGGGCAGAAACTGGGCTCAAGGAAGGCTCAGATGCTGACGCATGAGTGACAGGTGAGGCTCCTAGACCCGATGTGGGACTTGGCACCTCAGAAATGAGAGGACAGCCTTCCCCGCAGGCGCCCCGGAGCGGGTGTGGGGAAGATGTTTTGTTGGTTTGCTTCTGCAGGGCCCCAGCGCTGCCGTTTGGTCACCAGCGGGCACTCTCGCTCTGGTCCCTTCCAGTCCATCAGCTCCCGAGCAGGCTCCTTGCCCTTCCCAGAAGCCCTCCTGCTCGCAGGCCTCTCTCTGCTCTCTGTCCTCTGCGTGTCTTATCAGCTTGGTGACAGGTGCAATCAGGGTCCCCCAAGGCCAGGGGGGAGGGAAGGAAGGAATGGGAAGCACGTACCCCTCCCGCTTCCACGATCTGCTGCCCGGCTCCATGCCCAGAGCTAAATATAGCTGGGAGGACTCCTGGTCTTGGCCAGCAGCCCCGCTGGACTGGAGAGGGAGGGGTCAGGCCCACATTCACCGGAGACCCCAGGTGCCTTGGGGGTGGGGGTCCCCCACCCCATCCTGTCTCCTGCTTCAGGAGTAGGTCCGGCCCCTGATGGGCAGGGTAGATGGGCACTGGGGCTTAGGGTGGGGTGGGGTGGGAGGTAATGGTGGTAGGGCAGGACCCCTCCACCCGTCTGCCTCTGAAGAAAGGGCGACGGAAGCCTTGCTCTACCCTCACCCGGCTCCCACGAATGCATCAGAGGCTGAGGGAGCCACCCTGGAGGTGTCATTTGGCCTCTGAACACTGATGCGGACCCTCCCCAAGGCCAGCAAGTCCATTCCCCAGGCTGACCGGAACAGAGGCAGCGCACACCAGCGTCCCATCCCCTGGAACCCTTGGCATCTCTGTGTGTGCTCCCAACTCTGGGAATCAAAGTGTCCACGGAGGTCAGACCTAAGGCCACTGAGTCAAGCCTCCTCTCTGCTCAGGTGGGGAAACTGAGGCCCCAAAGAAAGCAAGGCCCTGTCATTGGCCCCCCATGCAGTCGGAAGCTTGTTTCTGGTTCTAGAAACACCCCCTACCCCCTGCTGGGCTGAGATCCTTGGGACTGAAATTTTGTGCCCACTGGCAGGGCAGAAATAGTGGGAGAGTAGAATTCAGAACCGGAACCCTTGTTAGGATAGAGGGACTGAGCCCCAAGAAGTGTCCCAGAGCCTGGCCACACACATGCAAGGCAAGCTCTCTGCCCCTCACCCCTCCCCTGGCTTTGACCGTCTAGGGCTGGGCCATCGCTCAGGGTGACCCCACCTTGGCCTCAGGTCTGCTCCGCCTAGACCACCTGCCCATGTCCCCTCAAGGCCTTCCTCGGGGAGGGAGTCTGCACCCCAGCCTGGATCCTAGGCTCCAACCAGCCCAAGGAGACATTCCAGAGCCAGTTAAGCCAAGACTTCTGCCTACAGCAGCTGGGCACGGGCTTGTCCCAGCGACTCCCAGTCAGCCTGCTCCCAGCCCCCCAGCCCCCCATCCTACTTCTTCACTTCCATCCCTCTTTCCTCCACGCCTGCCTGGGAAGAGCCTGAAGCCCGAGAAGGTCTATCCCTGGATTTTATTTTATTTTATTCTTTTGGTTTGGGGGCAACACCTGGCGATACTGAAGGCTTATTCTTAGTTCTGTGCTCAGGAGCTACTCCTGGCAGTACACTGGGGACCATAGTGGGTGCCACCAGGGATTGAACCCGGACCAGCCACATCAAGGTTTACAAGGCAAGTGCCATACCCACTTTACTGTCACTACAGCCCCCTCTGTGCCTGTATCACTGTATCACTGTCATTGTCATCTCGTTGTTCATCGATTTGCTCGACCAGGCGCCAGTAACGTCTCCATTCGTCCCTACCCTGAGATTTCAGCAGCTTCTCCTTACTCGTCCTTCCCAACGGTGCCTTCTTGGAGGCTCTTTCAGGGTCAGGGGAATGAGACCCATTATTGTTACTGTTTTTGGTATATCGAATACGCCACGGGGAACTTCCCAGGCTCTGCCTGTACTTAAAAAAAAAAACAAAAACAAAACTCCAGGCCACCACTTGCACCTTCCTGGACTAAGCCACACTGGCACCAGCCTGTCCCTCTTCGCGCCTCAGGCCTGTGCCGGCTCCTAGGGGGCTCAGGCTCGCTCACCCCTAACTTCCCTGTGGGGTCTTCATATCAGAGCCTCTTCTACTCCCCCATCCAGGTGCAGCACCCCGCGGCCCCCGGCCAGAGCTGCCCCTGACACATGCTGTGCTCAGTGGGGAGCTAGCCCTGAAGGCCCCAGCTCTGGCCTGTGCCCGGGGAAGCTCACTCACCTGAGGGTCCTGCTTGGTTGCTGGGGGGCTTGGGCTGGGTGTGTGTGGGGGTGCAGCCTAACTGTCCGCTGTCTCTCGGCTCCTCGTTGGGGCTGGTCCTGCTCAGCTGGCTCTGTCCAGTGCCTTCTCGCTGCCCTGGCTCAGGATCTCTGGCCTCTGCCAGCCCTAGCAGCTGCCTTTATCTTGCTGGCTGGAGGGTGGGGGTGGGGGCTCGCGGGGGTGGGGCGAGAGTCTAAGTTGAGAGTATGAAGTGGTTGGGTTATTTTTAGGGTCTGTGGAAGTCTCTCCTGAGGAGTTGCTTACTTGTCCTTTCTGTGGGGGGGGGGGGGAGGCAGCGGTAGTGGGGTGGAGTGGAAGAGGCGGCCAGGTCCCATTCATCGAGGGTCGAGCTCCATGACTCATTTGGAGAGCGTGGGCTACAGGTGTCCCGGGCTATTCTGGGGGGATGAATAAAGAGGGATGTGAGACACACCCCCTCCCTTCCCACCCCCTCTTCCGAGAGCCCACTACCCTGCTCCCAACTGGTTGGTGACTCTTCCCGCCATGACGTCCAGGGTGTAGGGAGGCTGGAGGAGACACACTGACCAAACAGCTGGCTCTAGGAAGAGCCCCTTCCCCTGTCCACCGTCCCCCAGCCCCTCAGCTCAGGGCTACGCAGTCACCGTGACTTGGGGGAAAGAGGAATTTCCAGGCTGGGGCCATCACCGGGTCCCTCAGCCTGGCATTGCACAGAACAGCTCTGAGTGTTGTTTATCTGGGTCCTGCTCTCTGACTCAGGGCCCAGACACTCTGGGAATGGAGGGGAGGGAGGGCAGCCCCTGGGGCCTGACCATGGCTATTTCTGACCCTGAAGTCGTCAATTTCTGGTCAGAGATTCTGTGTGTGTGTGTGTGTGTGTGTGTGTGTGTGTGTGTGTGTGTGTGTGTGTGTCTGTGAAGTGAGTGTATCTGTTAAACCAGGCAGAGATCTCCCCAGAGGAATGACATGAAGACAAGTTGCAATGCAATAAGCAAAGGATCTTCACTGGCTAGCTTGGTTAGCTTAAGCTAGGGCCCTCGTCTGGCTCACTTGGAACGAGTGGCCCCGAGTCTCAAATGTGAGGGGCTTTTATACCAAAACATTATACAACAAAACACACAACAGGGACTTTCTGTGGGGCTTTCCACTACTCGTACTTAGTTGATTGGTTAGAAGTTGGGAGTTACATAAGGGTTGCATAAGAGTTATATAAGGGTTGTATATTGTATATTGTATATTGTATATTCAGCTCCTGGGAGAGAACAAGGCAGAGTCTCCTACCCTATGCCTGACTGTCTCCACCAGGGCCCAACAGCTGAAGACCACCAGGGCCCAGCCAAGGCCATGCTGAGACCACTCTCCACACACTTGGATGAGCCTCACGCATAAAAGAACTGACAGAGGAACCCAGGTGTGTGGGACCCGGGGTTGAGATCTCCAAGCCTGCACAGTTTGAGACTGGACCTGCCTGTAAATAGACAGTTACACCCACCAACTGCCGTGTAACTCCAACAACGGCCAGGATCCAGAGATCATCACACTCAGCTCCTGGGAGAGAACAAGGCAGAGTCTCCTACCCTATGCCTGACTGTCTCCACCAGGGCCCAACAGCTGAAGACCACCGGGGCCCAGCCAAGGCCATGCTGGGACCACTCTCCACACACTTGGATGAGCCTCACGCATAAAAGAACTGACAGAGGAACCCAGGTGTGTGGGACCCGGGGCTGAGATCTCCAAGCCTGCACAGTTTGGGACTGGACCTGCCAGTAACTAGACAGTTACACCCACCAACTGCCGTGTAACTCCAACAACGGCCAGGATCCAGAGATTATCACACTCAGCTCCCGGAAGCATCTTATCATCTTATCATCTCATTCCTAATTTGGTCAAACTGACAGGCTACCAAATGTAACATGCCCACACGGCAGAGTCTGGCAAACTCCCCGTGGTATACCCAATATGCCAAATACCAGTAACAATGATGGGTCTCATTCTCCTAACCCTGAAAAAGCCTTGAATATGGCACTTTAAAAAAAAAAAAATCTCAGGGCTAGGACGAAGAAGACGTTACTGGCACCTGCTCGAGGCAATCGACGAACAACAGGGTGGTCGTGATCGTGATCGTGATCGTGATATTGGGGGACTTCCTTACCTGAATCTGATCGGTAATCTTTAGTTGACTTCACCATGGCTATCTCACTTTGGGGAAATCATGACTCAGCTCCAGGTATCTGTGCTCAATCCCAGGAATTTTGGAACCGAAACCTAGGTCTAGCTTCTTGATGAACCTGTCATGGCTCTGCCTTTGCTTCTCTATCTCTCATACGTGTGTGTGATGTGTGTGTGTGTGTGATATGTGATATGTGTGCATGCGTGTGTGGTGCTTATGTGTGTATGTGTGTGGTGCATGTGTATGTATGTGTGTGATATATGTGTGGTGTGTGTGTTTGTGTGATGCATGTGTGTGCTGTGTGTGTGATGTGTGTGCAGTGCATGTTGTGTATGTGTGTGTGGTGCATGGTTATGTGTATAGGTGTGTGGCGCATGTGTGTATATATGTGATGTGTATGTGATATATGCATGTGTGTGATGTGTGTGTGCATGTGCGTGTGTGTATGGGTATAGGGGTGTGTGTGAGGGTGTGTGTATGTGTACATGTGTATGTGTGTATGGGTATATGGGAGTATGAGGGGGTGTGTCATGGTTATGATCAGGGTGTGTGTGTGTGAGTGTGTGTGGGGTGTCTATGCCAGCTCGCCAGCTCCTTTGCCCAGAGTCCAAGGAGCAAGAGACGGGGCATTCTGGAGTCAAGCAGGAGCCAGTGTGTCGGGGCCAGCAGGACCCGTCCACAGCTCATCCTCCGTGGCCTTCTGCCCAGATTCTGTGGCCCAGTGGATGCAGATGCAGCCTGGGCCTTTGGTGCCAGGGAGTGAGGGCAGGCTCTGCTCACTGTTTCCACTGAGTCACAGTCGCCCCCCCGGGGGGGGGCACTCCTGCTACCTGGGTTTCTGGCCCCCCCCCCCCCAGGAGGCGGGATGGCCCAGTCACTGTGTCCCAGTCCCTGAGACCTGGGGGCCAGGGAAGTGCTGGTTCCAGCCTGCAGGGGTTTGATCAATGACAAACTTTCAGGAGCAGCCCCTGCTGGTGCGGAGGGAGGAGAGGAAAAACATTCACTTCCATACTCACCCTCAGGCGATGCCTTAGGGCAGAATCTTCTCACTGTTTGCAGGCTCACCTGCTGGTTGGTGGTGGGGGATGATGGCACTTGGCCACATGCGGTGGTGCTGGGGATCAGATCTAAGACTCTGCCACTCGGCCACCTAGTGACCACCTAGCTGGTTTTCTCTGTTGGGGAGGGGTGACCCACCTGGTGGCATTCGAGGGCTACTCTGGGCTGGTGCCTCAGGGTCACTCTTAGGTGCTGGGATAGAACCCAGGGTCCCTCAACCAAAGCATGAGCTCCAGCCCTTGGCTCTGTCTCCTAAGCCCTGTGGTGAGTTTTGATGAATGCACTGTGCAGCCTACTGCATTACTGCCATCCACAAGCCTAGCTTAAATTTAAGTGGATTAAAACAAGCTACAATTAAGCGTCTGCTTCCTTCGTCACACTCACCTCATTTTAGTGCTTTGTGGAGGCACGGGCCACCCTTTGCATGTCTTACTGGACAATGCAAGTCATCCCCACTGCTGTGGCAAGAGCATCTTAAAGTCACTGAAAAGTAAAAAAGTAAAGGCCCTCCCACTGATCATCGATTTGCTCGAGCGGGCCCAGTAACATCTCCATTGGAGACTTTGTTGTTACTGTGTTTGGCATATTGAATACATCACGGGTAGCTTGCCAGGCTCTCCGAGAGGGGCAGAGGAATTGAACTCTGGTCGACCATGTTGACTGCGTGCAAGGCAAACGCCCTACCTCTGTGCTATCACTGAAAGCCCAAGTGATTCCCAAAGGGGGGAGGCCACAGGGGGCTGGAGCCAGTTGTGGGTGTGGGTGTGGGTTGGGCGGGGAATAGTCTCCAATTTCCAGTAGGGGCGCTTTCTGTTAGTGAGATGCAAGAATGCAGGCTCCTGGGGGTGGGGGTGGGGGTGTCAGTCCTTTATTCTGTAAAGGGGCAGCAGGTCCTGTAAGTTGGGAGCCTGTTGCTGCTCCTCTTCCTGCCTCGGCTCTGAGCTGCATTTTCCAGGCTTCTTGAAAGTGGACTTTGTGCCCTGCGTCCTGGGTGGCAGGGGCAAACACCCATCCTTGTCACGGGCTCTGAAGGGTTTCCCAGAACCCGGGACTTTCAGTTTCTGAACGTGGGAGCCTGGGAGCGTGTGGGACAGTCTCACAGTGTCACGCGGCCAGCAGCAAGGCCTCTGGGGGCCGAACTGCAGGACTTTGCAGGCGTCTATTCCAGGAGGACCCACAGACCTCCTTGTGAGGCCCTCTGGGGAGAAGGAGGTGGGAATCAATACTTGGAGATGGAACGGCCTTACTGATTGATTGATCTGTTCAAAATGGGGATCTCGGGGCAGGGGTGGAGCAGCATGCTGGGATCTGATCCCTGCCCGAGAACCCATGTGTCTCTTGAAGCCCTCACCCCCACCCCAACCCCAAAGTTGTGGATTAGCTCCTGGAATAATTTGTAGCCCCCAGGTGAATTTTGTGTCCATCTGTTTTTTTAGCAGGACCATATAAGGAGAAACTCCCTGATTTAATTAAGAAATTAATTCACTGGGGGCTGGAGTGATAGCACAGCGGGTAGGGTGTTTGCCTTGCACACGGCCAACCCAGGTTCGATTCCCAGCATCCCATATGGTCCCCTGAGCACCGCCAGGGGTAATTCCTGAGTGCAGAGCCAGGAGTAACCTCCGTGCATTGCTGGTGTGACCCAAAAAGCAAAAAAAAAAAAAAAAAAAAAAAAAAAAAGAAATTAATTCACTGTATCACTGTCATCCTTTTACATTTACTCGAGCGGGCGTCAGTAATGTCTCCATCCGTCCCAGCCCTGAGATTTTAGCAGCCTCTCC